TATTCTGCCCTTATGCTTCCTGACATGCTTTATGGACAAACGCGTTTATCCCTGCACTTACGGCTCAGCAGCGGCACCACCTCACTGTCCTCGACAAGCGAGGTGGTCGCTGCGTAGCCGATCTGCCCTTCCCGTCCCATACCACTCCTATATACACTCGCCTTTCCCTGACCCCTGTAAAGGCTGTAATTGAATGTGCCAAATGCGAACTCCGTTTCCTTATGCACCGTGTCCACACCAGCAGCATCAGCCCTCTTCTGAAAGATAGAGTAGCCCTCCAACCTCCCAGTAACACCCGTGGCAATGACAATTGCAAATACGTTGTTCAGCTAACTCGGCGAACATCTGGCGACAGCCGACCATTGGTTTCCACCGTGAAGCTTTGGAACACCCTGCCACAGGAACTCACGTCCACTCGTCGTCCAACCCCGTTTAAAGGATTGCTGAAAGTGTTTTTCTACGGTTAATATGGCCGAATAGCACCTCCCTCTGGCATAGGTCCTCATCTTCCTATTTCTCCCTGATTGTTACTTCTTTCGAACTTGACTTGTAATTACCGGTACAAATACTTCCTATTGACTGTTTTCTCATTTGCTCAAGTGCAGTTTATCGAGCCACACTTTTTATTCTATCGCCATCATAATATTGGGCATCAATGCCCGTTTGGTTTGCGATGTAAAATAAAACTTCAAACAAACAAAAACTTACAAACAAGGCAATCGTGCAGAAAAAGAGGGAACTAAAGAACTAGCGGCTCTAGAGGCTAACACACAAACTTCAAGTGACAAGCACTGGATGATGGATGAAAGATATCAGAGCGTCCATTCTGTTCACTTTAAACATCATGCCATGTTCCAATTGGGCAGAGCCAGGTATTCCTCTGCAAGCAATCATAATGCCATCAATGATCCTCATTTCATGTAATAATGCGTGTACTTATTGTGCTTGTTCAGGTGCGGAATGAGATCGGTAATGATCACGTGACGACGCTTGCGACGCTTGTTGGACAGCTCACTGAGCTTATAGCCCACATACGCCACGTGACTGAAACGCGATGATCTGTCGTTATGGTAACGTGGGAGAACGGGGGGGGGGCAGGAGCGTGACGGGGTCCAGTGAATGCGCCACTCTAATGCTCTTGGTCACGTGACGACCGTAGTATGCGGCAAAGCAGTCATCGCGAACCCTGGGAGCACCGAAGCTCATCATAATGACGTCCATGCCTCTGTTAACGCGTAGATCGAGTGCAGCGAACACTCCTAGTGCTCCTCCCATGGAGTGGCCTCTGACTGTATACTATCGCGTTTTGTGCTTTGTTGTCGCACTATCTGACCGTATACTATCGCCGTACCTAATGTCTAATGTCTGTTAGGTCCTTTCCTCTTTACATAATTATTATGTAACTTGGAATCTCAGTAAACTGACCGTTTTGGAGCTGAGAAGTGAAGTTTCATCAATGCGCAACTGGCTGCGTTGGAGTTTGCGGACTATAGGAAGAGATTATGGAACTAGAAAAAATGGCGACAAAAAGGATTATTTAAATAACCGACGAGGAGACAACAGTCGTAAAATAGCAATGAAAAATATCAATTGTGCACTCATAACCATGTATAAACAATTAAAATGAAACAATTCCAGAACGTTTTCGTGTGACCATCATCATTGGAACATCGTCACATAGTAAGAATCACTAAAACAACCAGTTATATAGCTACAGTAATATGAAAAGAAGCGTGAGAATGCAGCACAGCTAGCGGTTATGCATAACGCGTGTAGTGTGAACCTTTGCAGTGTATCTGAGAATGGTAGCAGTAGATGAATGTGGCAGCTGTGAGTGCGTGTGAACAAAAACTGGTGAGTGCGTATTATTTAAAAAGTGTGAGTGCTACAACATTCTTGTCGTGTCTTCCTGTGCCTGCCTTGGAAAGGCGCGGAGTCGACAAAGGTCAGTCGTATTGTCAAGTCTATTGTCCAGAAGACGTACTATGCAGTAAATGTAGTAACTGTCTTCACCACGATACGTTCGTTCACGGTGTTGAAGGACGTCCTGCCGACCCATCATTTGAGTCACCTCATTTATCATTTTGAATGCCGACAGTGCGGTAGTCGGTATGTTGGCAGGACGCTTCAACACTTGTCCGAACGTATCAAACAACACGTCCCATTGTCCTTGTTGTCAAAAGCGGCCAGGGCAGGCAGGCCAAAGCGTGGGAGGCCACGAAAACACCCGTTGCCTACTACTACGCCTGTCAGTATTACAACACAACCAGAAACGGATACAACACCGGACTCAACAGTAGCGCAACACATGAATCTGGTGTCACTCTTGACGACAACAACACGGCATGGGAGACCACCGGACGATCGTTCGTTAACAAACCCGACGGCGGTAACGGAAAGATCACCAGGAAAACGAAATGAAAATGGAGGAAAAACGAATCTGAGGAGAAGCAAGAGACTAGCGGAGACACGACTGAGAAAAATGGAGAAGGCGGAACCAGTAGTGGCAGGTGAAAGTACGGGCGCAGCAGTGAACACGTCAAGGAGAAAGAAGCGATGGCATGAGGAGATGGAGATGGCGGAGGAGGATGGGGATGAACAGGATGGTCAGGAGGAAAGCAAGGGTGAGCAGGAACAGGAAGTGGAGGATGAGAGTGATACGGACGAGAAGGAGTTCGACATCGACAAGAGCAAGTTTGCCATCTACAAGCATTTGGTGTCCAGTCCGGATTGTCGTAAGTTGTTTGACGATTCCTGGTTTAGTGTTATTTGTCACGCGCGTTTTTTCAAGCAGTTGCAGGTGTTGGAAGCTGTATATATTCGCACACGTGACCCTGTTCTATGCAAGCAAAAAGAAAATGTTGTAGCACTCACACTTTTTAAATAATACGCACTCACCAGTTTTTGTTCACACGCACTCACAGCTGCCACATTCATCTACTGCTACCATTCTCAGATACACTGCAAAGGTTCACACTACACGCGTTATGCATAACCGCTAGCTGTGCTGCATTCTCACGCTTCTTTTCATATTACTGTAGCTATATAACTGGTTGTTTTAGTGATTCTTACTATGTGACGATGTTCCACTGATGATGGTCACACGAAAACGTTCTGGAATTGTTTCATTTTAATTGTTTATACATGGTTATGAGTGCACAATTGATATTTTTCATTGCTAAAAGGATTAATTATTATTGTGGTCACGGCCAAAGCCCGAGTAGCGGTATGACACAGTAAACACGTACATGTGCTTACATATCACAACAACAGAAATAATAATAATAATAATAATAATTTGAACAAACGGCGAGGAGACAACAATTTGATAACCGCAATCAGTAATACAAGCTGGATCGACATTTGTGTACACTGTATTCATGTATTGTAAAACTGTGGAGACAATGTGCAATAAAACGATGAAAAATGTGAAGAAATTGTGTAGAGAAAGAAAGGGATTCAAATAAGTTTTCGTCCAACACTCATCAGGAATCTTCGTTGTACTAAAGGACACTGAAAACAAAATTGAACTATTATAGAAAATCTATGTTAGAGAAATAACACTAAGAACAACAGCAGTGAAATTTACAAGTGTGAATTTTAACAATGAAAGCGAGAGCAATAACGAATGTGTGTACTAACACTAAACTTGCAACTGAAAAGTGAACAAAGAAGAGAAAGAAAGAAGGAAGGACAAAGTGATAACAAATAACAGCAGTACATTACACCTAGAACATTAACGGCCAAGCTTGGCCGCACCAAACATGACACTTTACTTGAACAATTTCAACCCAATTATACTATCTTTCTGTACACACAAATTAGGCTTATACAGACGCTGACAGATGGCTTCCAAAACCTTTAACTGTTGTCCATAACCATGACGACCACGGCACAATACAGTGAATGAAGAGTCGGAATACGAATTGCAACAATCAGGACTAGCCAACAGATGATTGTACACTGAAGACTGGCTACCACGAAACCTACGCACAACGCTAACATTCTCACCGGCACTCTCACGATCACTACAATCGTCGCTCTCCGACTCATTGCTCCCTTCACCGTCCGTCCCAGCATCTGCTTCCTCTGCGCTCTCTCTGTTATCCCGCCTGACATGGTCCATTGAACGGGACTCGGCCGTCACCCTGCTCTCACGTCCCTCCTCACGCCCTTGTCCGTTGAGTGCGTAGTTTCTGTTGTAGTTGGCTCTTGATCGTCTTGGTCTTTCAATAATGGGCTTGGATGGTGGATTAGTTGTGGTTGCTGTAGATTGCATTGTTGGTGATGGTGTGGGAGCTGCTAATACGCAAGGTGAGTCTTTTTTGGTTGGCAATGCCTGCCGGTGTTGCTTGCGGTCTGTCACTGGCAATTGTTATTTCTCTAACATAGATTTTCTATAATAGTTCAATTTTGTTTTCAGTGTCCTTTAGTACAACGAAGATTTCTGATGAGTGTTGTACGAAAACTTGTTTGAATCCCTTTCTTTCTCTACACAATTTCTTCACATTTTTCATCGTTTTATTGCACATTGTCTCCACAGTTTTACAATACATGAATACAGTGTACACAAATGTCGATCCAGCTTGTATTATTATTATTATTATTATTTATTCTTCTTTTACTAGGGAATTCTCAACAGACGTCAGCGCCTTTTTACAGGGAACCCTAGGTATAATTTGATGGATGAGCGAAATTCAGCTGGTGAACTAGACATGCGGCAAGCCGGTGGAAGTGTATTCCACCTGGCAGCGCCCAAATAAGAAATTGCACTAAAGCCATATCGGGTGTTAGCGGGGGGGGGGGGGGGGCAGAACAAGAGCAGCAGAGACTTGGCCACAGGTGATGGCTGCAGTGCGAGCACCATGGGCGAAGGATAAATACAGCAGGCAAACAAAAAATAACATTTGTTTGTTTGGACACGCACCACCACCACATTGCACAGTTGTCCAAGCAAATAAAGCTATGAACGTGAGCAGGCAGAGTGCGATCGCTAAATAGGACTATGGCACAACAACGCATTGATGCCTGCGGTAGCTGCGGGAAATATCAGATGCAGTGTAGCTGGCAGCAAATTTAAGGACAATAGTGAACTGGCTGAATGCCTCTCGGAGATAATCTGAAAAGAGCTGATTACGTGTGATACATTGAACTAAGAACACTAGCTGATAACTAGCCCGGATGTCATAACACATAGCTGACCGCCTCATGACCAGCCTGCTCTGCAAAACATATCGACGCTATACACCTTTCGGCAACCATTGTCGTTGTCTTGGCGACAGTGGCGTGAAGGCGAGCGTCTAGGAGATGAGCGGCGGGATGGGGGTGCGCTGCAGTGGAGTTAAACCAATTGTGTGATGCGTTACCATGGTAGTGATGATGCTACAGGTGTGTCACCTCCCTGTACAAACAGAACGAGTCATAAAATAACAACCAGGGCATAACACACAGGACAATCAGAAATTATATGTATGTATAGCTGGGAAAATGTGTGTGTGTAAGTGGGGTGGGGGGGGGGGGGATTGGACCCACATTGTGTGTGATTTTACCACCACGTTATGCTGCCATTTTGGCCGTTCAGCGACACCTGTAAGCAACTGACCAACGTCCAATCCATGTATATAGTCACCGGCCGCTGGAACCCGCCGTGAGTATGGTTTTCAGTGGTACATGATCATCCTAGGAAGTAATGACTTGGACGATGCTGTGCTTGTCCATGACAAGGGTCTGGCGTTTTTTTCTCTTTTCAGGCAGTTCACTTCCCCGACTGATCATTTGAATTTGAAGTTCTCCCAATCCTTTCCAAATTTAATCACTTTCCTTCACCTCTGGTAGTTTCCAGAAACTGACCGTGGTTGGTCCCCTGGGGGAGGGAAAAAGACCCAAGTGCCATCAGTATGTGTGGCACGTGTTGTGAGCTGCCTTTGGAGTGAAAAACTTGTCAGCCCCTTCCAGGTTCAGCCTGGTCCCATAGCTCAGTGGTTAGAGCATTGCTCATGACAAGCAGGGTCCCAGGTTCGAGTCCTGGTGGGTCTGGCGTTTTTTTCTCTTTTCAGGCAGTTCACTTCCCCGACTGATCATTATTATTATTATTATTATTTGAAACTCGGGTATTGAGCCAATAATAAAAGGAGAAAGGGAAAAGGACATATGGAAACGAGTTAAGAGTAACTCTCCACCACTGTAACTAGATACTATATACAGTCAGAAAGTGCAACAACTAGGCACAAAACTGACAGAGTACTGAGACATTCGACGTCCTGACACCTGATGAGCCGTCACGAACCATACGGCGAAACGTACGTCGTGTGAAACAACTTGTTTTGTAGTTAACTAGTCCATCACAATGTCATGCATGAGGAGTACTGTAGGAGTTTAGATTTCGGCTTGTACAATTCGTTCTCGCAAAGCTTCCCCCTTCTTAACTTATCTTTGATATTTTTGACCCACCCAAGTTGGGTGGTGTGCTGCTTTGCTGCTTCGAATTGTAGTTAGACCGCTTTGTCAAATCGCCTACTGGTCTCGTCATCGTCCAGTGACAATCGACATTCTTTGTTCCGTTGGGACTGTAGCTTGTGCTCGTTTTCGTTGCGCTTGCCTTCCCCTCTTTGGTCTTTCCATAACCTCGAACCTTCCAAGTTGGAAGGCTGTCGGTTAGCGCTACGGAGATGTGTTGAAGCTAGGTGTCAGGACGTCGAATGTCTCAGTACTCTGTCAGTTTTGTGCCTAGTTGTTGCACTTTCTGACTGTATATAGTATCTAGTTACAGTGGTGGAGAGTTACTCTTAACTCGTTTCCATATGTCCTTTTCCCTTTCTCCTTTTATTATTGGCTCAATACCCGAGTTTCAAATTGCACACCTGATGAGCCGTCACGAACCATACGGCGAAACGTACGTCGTGTGAAACAACTTGTTTTGTAGTTAACTAGTCCATCACAATGTCATGCATGAGGAGTACTGTAGGAGTTTAGATTTCGGCTCGTACAATTCGTTCTCGCAAAGCTTCCCCCTTCTTAACTTATCTTTGATATTTTTGACCCACCCAAGTTGGGTGGTGTGCTGCTTTGCTGCTTCGAATTGTAGTTAGACCGCTTTGTCAAATCGCCTACTGGTCTCGTCATCGTCCAGTGACAATCGACATTCTTTGTTCCGTTGGGACTGTAGCTTGTGCTCGTTTTCGTTGCGCTTGCCTTCCCCTCTTTGGTCTTTCCATAACCTCGAACCTTCCAAGTTGGAAGGCTGTCGGTTAGCGCTACGGAGATGTGTTGAAGCTAGGTGTCAGGACGTCGAATGTCTCAGTACTCTGTCAGTTTTGTGCCTAGTTGTTGCACTTTCTGACTGTATATAGTATCTAGTTACAGTGGTGGAGAGTTACTCTTAACTCGTTTCCATATGTCCTTTTCCCTTTCTCCTTTTATTATTATTATTATTATTATTATTATTATTATTCTCTTATTCTCTTTCCCTCAAACCAGTTAATAATATTATTATTATTATTATTATTGCAATAAGTAGGACGAGCTGAAGCGACATGTGGACTACTTTATTAACAATGTAAGCGATGGAGACGATGCAAGAAACAACCTAAAGGGTAAGGAAAAATACATGTAAGAAGAAAAAGGGCAATGGAAAAAAAGATGATTCGAACAAGTTTTCGTACAACACTCTTCAGGAATCACCGTTGTACTAAAGAACAAAATGAGAACAAAGGAAATAATATAGCAATCAAGGTAGGGTGACACGATACAATGACAGCACTAGAATATCGAGGTGCGATTTCTCACAAAAGTGTGCAGAAAACAAGGGTATACAAGTAAGAACTAAGCGTGACAAGTGTGTATCAGCAACAAAAAACAAAAAAGTGAGAACGAATGATAATAATAACAATCATAAACAAGAAGGTGACAAAACACATTTAGGCACAAGTGGCAACAACGTTGCCACACTACACAACAGAACATTATTTGAACAATTTTAGGGTAATAACACTATCTTTCTGGACACACAAATTCGGCTTATGAATGCGCTGACAAACAGCTTCCAAAACTTGTAACTGCAAAAGATAACCATGACGAGCACGGCACAAAACAGAAAAACAGGAATCAGAATACGTACGACAACAGTCAGTACTAGAAACCAAATGATTGTATACTGAAGACTTGTTATTACGAGACGGACGCACACAATCTCGACTCACGCGCACACCCTCACACTCCCTCTCACCCTCACTCAGCTCACCTTCTCCCTCACTGTCCGAATCAGAACCTGCTCCGTCATCCACCGCGGTTTGACTCTCCTCCTCACTTGCATCGTCCTGCGTCTCACCTTCACCACCCACGCCAACCCTGAATGCTGTTGCCTTCACGTCAGTCGTCGTCCTTTCCGATTGTTTCCTTTGTATTTTTAACGTGAATTCATAGGTCCGGTTGTAATCTGCTGTAGATCTCCGTGGTCTGTCATTTGCTGCTTTGTTTTGTGGATTAGTTGTTGTTGTTGTTGTTGTTGGATGTGAACCTGGTGTTGTTGTTGGATGTGAAGCTGGTGTTGTTGTTGCCGCCATGGTTGTTGGTCTTTCTGTTGAATCCAGCTCTGGTTCCGGTGGGACAAATCGACCGCCGCGGGTGCTCCCCACCAACACAGACCTCGAAGGAGGAGGGTCAGGGGGAGGCAGAGGTGCTGTCACCACTCGAGGCACAGCCCCATGCAAAGCACCCAGAGGCACAGACTTAGGCACACCCGAGGGCTGCACCAGTGGCGGTTCCGCACGCACCTCCAAAGAGCTGTCAAGCTCCAGCCCGTCCAACACAGATGTCAGAGGGGGAGCGGCAGACAGCGGCAGGGAACTATCCTGCCGTCTAGGTGATGGGTTTTTCCTAGGCCTCCCGCGTTTGGGCCTCTCAGATTGCGCACTGGGTGGAAGGATGTGAAGTGGAGTGTGTTGTTTGATACGTGCGTTCAGGTGCTGAACAGTCCTACCAACATACCGACTAGCACAATGTCGGCATTCGAAGTTGTAGATAACATGACTGAGGTGGAGGGTTGGTAGGACGTCCTTCCGCACCGTGAACGCACGCATTGTTGTGATTCCTGAAGAGTGTTGTACGAAAACTTGTTCGAATCATCTTTTTTTCCATTGCCCTTTTTCTTCTTACATGTATTTTTCCTTACCCTTTAGGTTGTTTCTTGCATCGTCTCCATCGCTTACATTGTTAATAAAGTAGTCCACATGTCGCTTCAGCTCGTCCTACTTATTGCCATATTAAAATTATTGTCTCCTCGTCGAATTTTTAAATACTTCAGGTCGAGATATAGCCAGACTCAGATAGATATTCTGAACCATGCGCTGAAGTCACGATTTCATTATCGTAGTGTTGCATTTAACGTAGTGTTCCTTAGACGTTGTCTGGACAATGGTGTTTGTCCAGGTGGTGTAGAGAACCGTGTCCGCAGGACCAAAGCTTACCACACGTTAAACATCGAACGCGTATTCATGAAAGACTAGATTGCCCGGTCCTGCGACACTTTGTCAAAGTCACGTTCGCGGTTTAGGTATTTGTATGATCGTGCACGCTGCTTTCTCTCCTCTCACGACTTCTTGAGATTCTCTATGCTCCTTTCGGAAAATGACCAGAAACAACGTATCCATCTAATCACAAAACATGACAAGACCTACAATTGGCTAAGACAGAAACGATATGGACATGTCACCATCGATCCTGATACCACCATAATTAACATGACATCACTAGAGTTGACCACTCTTCAGAAAGAGCTCCTCTGTCGTGGAACCGATTTCGGGATTCCACCAAAATCAAACAAGAAGGAAGTAATCATGACCGAGTTTGAGCTCTTTTACCGCAAGTTATTACGTTTCAGACCGGTGTCCGAGTCACAACAGTCCATTTGCGCCGCAAAGATCCGGGCAGAGGCCGAGGAACACGCTGATGCATTACCGGATAGAAGAACGTTTTCATTGAAACGCGAACATCTCAAAGCCCTGCATGAGCTACGTAATAACAAAGACATTATTGTCACGCCCCCGGATAAGGGTCGTGCAACTGTTTTAATGAATAAAACTGACTACATCGAGAAGATGTCCGTTATCCTAAATGACACATCAAAGTTCCGTACACTTGGTCCGGTCAAGACCTGTGATCGAACTGAAAAAGTAGAAAAGGATCTTGTAACTTACCTTAAGAAGCTAAAGAATGAAGAACAAATATCAAAACATGAATTCGATCGCATCAAACCGACTGGTACCCTTCGTCCTAGACTCTATGGCCTTCCTAAAATTCATAAACCTACATGCCCTGTTAGACCAATAGTATCCATGACCGCCTCCCCTAAATACTCTATCTCGAAATGGCTGTGCATCTACCTACAGCCTGTTCAAGATTACT